AAAAAAGTTTACAATGTGAAAGGATTTAAAAATTGAAAAATTTAAACATACAGGAAGTTTAATGTATTACCATATGTTTTAAATTTTAAGCCCTTGATGAAACACAAGATTTTAGGGAAAAATATGAATTACTGAAACTGACTAGCTGAAGCTACTTCCTACCCCTGCCCCCCTAACACCAGCTGCAGCATGTAACAGTGACTGAGTGCTTAGGTGTTCTAGGTACCAACTATGAGCACAGTGATAAATGTGTTAACTTGTTTTTTTCTAATTTATTCCTCACAATAAATTAGAAATTAGGCAGGAACTATTATTATCCCATTTTACAGATGAAGAAATTGAGGCTCATGTAGATTAGGCAACTTGCCTAATGTCACATAGATAGTATCCAAGAGACTAAAAAAGCTATCAAAACTTACCTCCCCCTAGAACTCCAGGACCAGAAGATTTTACTAGTGATTTTTTTAAAAAAACTTTCTAATCCCAGGGAAACTATTAACTATTTTAGAACATTAAAGAAATGGAAAGCTACCTAATCCATTTTATTTAGCATTAAGTCAGATACAAAAATCTCATAATCTCATATCATACATTTAACAAACAAAAACAAAACTAAACCATAGACCACCATTTCCCAATCAGTTTTCCACATCAGAGCTATGGCTACTGAAATTCACCAAAATCTGTTTCTGATAATAATCCTTGAACAATCCAGAAATAAAGCACACTTCCTTAACATAATAAAGATTATCTATCTTAAGCCAATAGTCAATATAATCCTCAATATAAATTTTAGAGACATTTCTATTGATATCAGCAATAAAACAGATGTGTAGAAATGCCTACTCCCCTTATTATTATATAACATTGGGCTTAAAAATGTAACTAAAATAAATAGGACATGAAATAAATAGCAAGTAGTATCAACAGAAAAAAAAAAATATTTGCACACAAGTTTCTACATGGAAAACCCAAGACTCAAAAGAGTAAGTCTTAAAAATGATAAAATAATCAGCAACATAATTGGACACATAGCCTTTTTCACACCATAATTACTGGTTTACAAAATAATGGAAAAAATGGACTACACCTGCAATTAAAAATAGCAAAATATATAAAAATTTATTCAGGTACTTAATAAACATGTACTAGGCACCTATTATGTGCCAGTCACTGTTTCTAGTCCTGGGGTTACAGAAATGAATCAAGTAGACTAAGTGGCTACTTAGCTTACATTCAAGAAATGAAAGCATGAGACTTACACTACAAAATGACTTGAGTAAATAGAGGCATGTACAACATATTTTGGTGAAACTATGAAATATTGAAAACATCAATTTTTGCCAAATTCAACAAGTATAATTTATTTGTAATATTTATATAAATATTGTTGAACACTTGCAAATGATTTAATTAACATGGAAAAAACGGGAAGAGACTACTTAAGAAAATTTGGAAAAAAAAAATACAGGGATACACCACCAGATATCAGAACATACCATATAAAAGGATACAGTTAAATCATAATAATTAAGGCTTTATGGTACTGTCACAAAGATAGATGGACCAATGGAACAGAATAGGTAGCCAGAAACAAACTGGTAAATTTAAGAATTAAACACAAGAGGGTTTCCCTGGTGGCGCAGTGGTTGAGAGTCCGCCTGCCGATGCAGGGG